GAGATGTCCCTAAGGTCGCATGTTGAAAGCTCAGCCTTGGGCTGACTACTGCATGGGTGCTGGGCCATGGCTTTGCTCTGCTGCTGACCACGGTGCAGGGACCTGGAGCATAGACCGAGCCTCTGAGACGGAAGTGCCAACACCAAGCCAAAGCCAGCATGTTGAGGCGTCCTTCTGTTTTGGGAAGAGCTGGGGCGTGTCTGTCGTTGGGCTCCCCTCGTGGGTGAAGATGGGGCGTTTCTGTGCTGAACTATTCTCTTACCTCTCACATCTGATGTTTGTCGTGCAGCATAATGTCACCGGGCACAGCCTGTTCACCATACTCACAGGCACACAGCCCCTGGTTCCATCAGGCGCCTGGCCCAGGCGCCAGCAGGACTTTGTCTTGGTTCTGTTTAGTACCCAGCACCTAGGGTCGTGCCTGAAACTTAGCATATCTCAATAACTGCAGAAATGAATACTACGCTGTCTCCTAAGCGCAGATGAGGCTGTCCCAGGCAGCTGAAGACCCCTCTGGTTCCTGGAAAGGAACCTGAGTTGTTGCTGCGGGTCCTTTGGCCCGCTCCCACCCACCTGAGGCAGGGCAGGGGTGCTGCTGCAGCCTGCCTCAGCCTCCTTCCTAACTCAAGCCAGTACCCTTGGTCTACTTAAACATCATAGAGATAGTAATGAGTGATATTTTGATTTGGGCTTTATAAAACTATTTGATGATCCTACAACTAACTAGTGAATTAATCCTGGATCACAGTGTATGAGAAGATACTCGTCCTGTGTCACATTCATGTGCACAACATGAGTGACTTACAAGAGGGACCTTTTAACCAACAAGGGCTCCGTTGGAATTCCTTTTTTATTTTTTTTCACAAAAGAGCTGGGGATGAAACCCAAAGTGCCAGTTACCACACAAGTCAGGTTTGCTTTTTGGCACAAATCATCTGGTCAGGCAGCTTTTAAAAAAGACAACTTATTAGTTCATTGCACAGAAGGATGTCTCAACCAGAAGCAAAAGAAGCTTGCCAGACTCAGAAATGCACTGTGCCGTGTTGCAGTACCAGTACCCGCACCCCTAGGTCCCTGGAGAAAGCCTGTGTTCTGCGCTTCACCCTGCCTTGAGCTCTAGAGGGCGCAGCGTCCCAACCAACCTGGCTCACGGGGTGGCAGCACACAGCTGCTGAGTGTTCACATCGGTTGTCTTGCTCTAACAACATAGTACTTACAACAACTTTTTTTTTTTGTACCAGGGATCGAACTTGGGACCTGGCGCTTGCCAAGCAGGCACTTAAACCGCTAAGCTATGTCCCTGGCTTTAACAGCCGCAGACCAACCTCCTACCAGCCTTGGCCGAAGGCTGGCACTGCTCACCTTGCTGTACTTCTTGCCTTTCTGAGCCTCGGTTTCCCCATCTGATAAGATGTTGAGCTGGGAAAGTCTGCGGCCGTCACTGCCACCCGGCCAGTGTGAAACACAACCTGGGTTCATTCGAGTAAAAAGAGTGCAACACTACTTCAGTGTTGCATACACGTGAAAAAATACAGCTGATGGACCGTGCGGTGCTGTTGGCTGTCATTGACCTCGCGTGCGGGGCTCGAGGGCCTTGCCTTATTTATATACTGTTTGGTGGGGACACACATGTGGGAGATGGAACCTACTTTGTCAGTTCAGATTTATTGCCAACAGTCACTTGGCCTACAAGCCTGTGCTGAGCCTCGCCAAGTGTGTCCCAAGGCAGCTTTCCCGCCCGCGTCTTCACGCTCTGGGAGGCCGAGTCAGGAGCACTGTGAATTTCAGCCCAGTAAACTGAGCTCCGGGCTGGCCTGGGCCACACAGTAAGACCCTGTCTCAAAAAACGAAGAAGTAAAATACAACAAGAGCACCTTGTGTGCTGGGCTGTAGCCTGGTGGCAGAGCTGCCCGGTTTATGCAAGGACCCGCTGCCACCCCTGGCACTGCTGAGGACAGAAGAACGCGAGCTCGGGGAAGGAGCACCAACGGGGCCCAGGAAGGAACGCGGGAAGTGGGCAAAGGTGCCACTTGCTCTGATGCTCTTTTTTTTTTTTTTTTTTTTTTTTTGGCAGAACCGGGAATTGAACTCAGGCCCTTGGGCTTGCCAGGGAAGCACTTATTCCACTGAGCCATCTCCCCGGCCCCTCTGACGCTCATTTTCCAAACTCCTGGGAACTGAGGCTTGGGCAGCTCCCGGGGCGGGGGTGGCAGGTGACAGGCAGAGCCTGGCGGGGGCAGCGCAGGTGTTCTCTGTACCAGCAACCCCCACACCCACGACCTCCACTCACCATCCCCGCATCACACTAGAATTGCACATGACGGAAAACCCCCAACACGTGACCAGTTCGCG